TACCAAGGGGGCAAGCCCGACTGCATCATCGCCCGGCAGCGAGCCCTGTCGTGAGTATCACTGGCTGCCTTCACCTGCTCTTGGCATGGGTGACCGTGGACCTGCTCAGGGTGTGTGGAAGAAGGGGTAGTTGGGTGGCATGGTCAGCACTTTGCAGCACGTGGTCTCCTGTAGCAGGGGGACATGAGCAAAACAGCTCTGAGAAGGTGATTGCAAACACACTCACTCCTGCCTGGGGTGAGCCCTGGACACACAGCCCTTCCCTGAGCTGTGCAGACCAGACTAGCGTGGCCAGTAGGACCAGGGAAGTTCTCTTCCCCCTGCACTGGGCACTGGTGAGGCTGCAGCTGGAGCGCCGGGTTCAGTGTTTGGCCCCTGAGTCCAAGAAGGACATGGAGGTGCTGGAGCGTGTCCAGAGAAGGGAACGGAGCTGGGGAAGGGTCTGGAGCACAAGTGTGCTGAGTTCCCTTGTGGCTGAGGGAACTGGGGGTGTTGAGCCTGGAGCAAAGGAGGCTGAGGGGAGACCTTGTGGCTCTGTGCAAGTCCCTTGGAGGAGGGTGGAGAGAGGTGGGGGTGGGTCTGTCCAACCAAGGCCCAAGGGACAGGACAAGAGGAAATGGGCTCCAGTTGTGGCCAGGGCAGGTGAGATGGGATGTGAGGAAGAATTTCTTTGCTGAAAGGGTTCTGAGGCATTGGAAGGGGTTGGCCAGGGCAGTGGTGGAGTCCCCATCCCTGGAGGGATTGAAGAGTCGTGTAGACATAGTGCTGAGGGACATGGGTTAGTCATAGGGGACTTGTCAGTGTTGGGTTCATGGTTGGACTCATTGATCTTAAATGGCTTTTCCAATCCAGGCCATTCTGTGACCTCCCCACAGGCTCCCCAGAGCCCCAGTTCTCCACCAGCAGCATCGTAGCCAGCCCAGTCCAGCACCTTTTTCCTCAGAAAAGCCGGGGCAGGGCTGTGAGCTCCCATCTCGCTGTTGGGAGGGTGGTTTTACCTGGTCTGGAGAAGGTGCTCACACTGTTTCCATCTCTTTTTCCCTCCACCCTGAAGGAATGAAGAAGGGGAGGAACATCTGCGGAAGAGAAGCCTGCAGCTGCCTTTTAGCTTTGCCACTGGGGAAGCAGTGTTGTACGGGAATGACCTTCCTGAGTTCCTGGATTGCTCCCAGGCGAAGGAGGAGCTGCAGACACAAGCAAACACCCACTCAAAGCAGCACTCAGTAGACCCCAACTCTCTTCTTGGGGCCATGATGAGGCAGGATGCATCCATATACACCTCCCATGCTGATAACATGCCTCAGTTCTCCTTGTCACATCTCATCACTGAGCCTGATGGACCGAGCCAGAGCGAGGAAGTTGTCAATGCCAAGGAGGACAGCAATTCCCTCCTAGGTGTTATTGAAACCCTCTTTGAGAAGAGCAAGTTGGATGGAAACATCTGCCAGACCCTCCAGAGCTTCAACATGGACAATGCAGAGCTGCAGCGACAGGAGGAGGCTCTGCTCAGTTTGGGTGCAGAGCAAGAGCTGCCAGCTCAGGAGGCTGGTGAGACACTAGGCACCGAGGTGACATCCTATGTGGAGCAGATCCTCCTCAGGGAGGATGCTGGGAAGAGCATGGACTTCCTGCAGTGCAGTGCATCACCCTGCCATGAGGAATATGGTCCTGCAGCTCATTTCCACCACTGCTGGGCAACTAATTCAGCATTTCAAGCCCCAGCACAGCCCCAGGCACTGGGTGCACAAGGCCAAGATGCTGTGGTGTCTCTAGTCAACGTTACATCCGAGGTCAGCTCTGCTCAACCAGAACAGCAAGTCCCATTTAACCCAGCCAGGCTGGTGGGAGGAACTGTTCTGGATGTCCTGGTCTCCAGCACCAAGCCTTCTGTAGCACTTCAGCTGGCAAACCCAGGACAAGTGCTTCAAGCAGAGGTTACCTCCTCTGCTCCTGTGGATAACGCTGTTCCTGATGATCAGAGCCAGCCTGGGTGTCACCTGGTGGGCTCCAGCTACCCACCTCCGTTGCACTCAAATGCTCTAGTGACTCAGTGGCACAATGTCCTGGTGCAGGCAAACCCAGCCAATGCTTTGAGTCAGAGTGATTCTCCTGGAGGTTGCTCACCAGAGGCTTGGATGACCACAGCTCAGAAAGAGCTGGAAGCAGCAGGAACACAGCTGGAGTCACAAGCTCTGCTGGCCAGCAGCCCTGAGAGCCTCTCGGGGACTGGGCTGTGGTTGCTGCCCTCCCAGTCTCCTCCTTGCCCTGCACAGAGCTTGCATGAGTCCTTGTTCTCCATGGCTGGGGACCTCTGTGGTGAGGAGGCTGCTCTCCCTGCACGACCATCAGCACCCTTAGGAGTCAGCCAGCTGCCAGGGCGTGGTGGCTTCTCCAAAGAGCCCCCCATACTCCCCCCAGAGCCCAGATTTTCTTGGGAAGGGGAACAGGACAAGTGGTTCAGGCAGTGCCAGCCCTGGTTCCTGCAAGCTGGGGCAGCTCCTCGGAGATGCGGTGGGGCAGGTCTGGTGCAACACAATGGGCTCTTAGTGGGGTCCAGCGCAGATCCCAGCACCCCTGAGATGGACCACGTGTTACTGCCTGAGGGCCAGTACAGAAACCACCTTTTTGGACATGAGAGTGCATTTCTGAGAGATGCCTCCAAAATATCCCTTCACCAAGAGTTGGGTGCTTTGCCTTGTCCCACTGAGAGCCACCCTGGAGCATTGTGTTCCTCACCAGGCTCATTTTTGAGGTGCTCAGCAGCTCTTCCTGCAAAGGTGGGTGCAGGAGCATTGCCCTCCTCCAAGCAGCACCTTGGCTTCCCATCAGCATCCTTTGGAGGTGGGCAGCCGCTTTGTGCCTGTGAGATCCAGCTCAAGGTGAGGTGTGAGGGCTGCAGGACCTGAGGGTTGGTCCCTGCTCATAGGGATGGAGCTCAGGGTGGTGCTGGAGGGGTGCAGGCACAGCAGCCTGGTTTGAAGCATCACTGTGAACGAGGAGCCACATTTTGAAAGGCCACCAGCAATGGTGACTTCTGGCCATGCACAACCTGTGCTTCCTGGTCATTCAGGATTTTGTCTTCCAGTGCCTGGAGTGAGGTACCCTAGTAGAGCTTTCAGGTAGCCCAGGATCATAGGATCCCAGACTGGTTTGGGTTGGAAGGGACCTTAAAGCTCATCCAGTTCCAACCCCCCTGCCAGCAGCAGGGACACCTTCCACTAGACCAGGTTGCTCAAAGCCTCATCCAACCTGGCTGAGAACACTTCCAGGGAGGAGCAGCCACAGCTTCTCTGGCCAACCTGGGACACTGTCTCACCACCCTCACAGTGAAGAATTTCCTCCTCAGATCTCATCTCCATCTCCTCTCTGCCACTTTCAAGCCATCACCCCTTTGGATTTTTTCCATGAGAAGTCTTTCAGGGAGATGCAGCCCTGCCAGCAGGAAGGTTTATCAGATTTTTGGGGTCAAGGAAAGGACCTCCTGCTTGCCAGTCCGTGTGTTCCTGGCAACCTGTTGCAGACAGACCTGCTGGCCTTACTGGTCCCACAGCACTGAACTGCTCTTTCATGATGCAGCGTGGTCTCCTCATCACCTGTGTGTGTTGACCACCCTTGGTCATGTTCCTGTTTGGTCCCCTTGTCTGAGCCCCTCTGCTCTGCTCCTTGCTCCTTCCCTCCTGTGCTCTCCATCTCCTCTCCTCCTGCTGAGCCCCTGGTGCCCCAGTTCCTTTAGACAAATAGATGTTGTTACCAAGTACTTGGAAAAGCTCAGCAGCATCTTGAAGGGTCTTTGTGGGAGGTGGAGTTGGTGAGAGGAGAGGCACCTTGGGACTTTGGGCTCCTCAGCAGCCTTCCCAGGGAGTTTAGGAGAAGCAGGTACCAGGCTGTGACCTTCCCTTACAGCAGGGTGAGGACACAGTGACTGCTGTCCACCTCTCCACTTTGGACCAACTTTGTGCCCTTCAAACTGTTGTCCTGGAGACCAGCACAACCACTTTGTCAAATTCCCTCTTTTGTATTTTTTATCCTAAAATGTGAATTAATTTTTTTTCCCAACCACAGGGCAAATTCTCCCAGATCCATCAGGCAAAAAGCAATGAGGGGACAGGGGAAGGTTTTGATTCAAGACCAAATGCCTTGGTCAGAGAGGTCAGAGTGGTTGGGGTCCTCCACATCTTCCCCCCTTGCACCCGTCATCCTGAGCGTCACGTCTGCCTCTCACACCAGTATTAAACCAGTAAACTCAGGTAATTAGTGCAGGGCTAGCCCAGCAGCAAGCCTGCATGTGTCGGGGTGTGGGATAGCTTCATCTCCCTGGCTCCCTTCCTTCGTGCCCTGCTTTGCCTCGTTGTGCTGGGGTTCCTGGGGCTGCTCCCAGGGCAAGATGGGTCTTGGAAAGGGTCGAGTTCCTGGGAGCTGGGCAGTGCTGGAGACACGCCAGACCCCTCTGAAGTGGCCTGGAGGAGCACCTAGGATGGGACAAGTTGCTGACTGGCTGTCCCATCCCACTCTGGTGGGATTAGGGGAGGTTGGTTTGAATCTCTGTGCAGTAGTGATGACAATTACTTTGAGAGGTTCTATTAAACTACAGTTTATTAAAGGGCGTTGTGAAAAATGGAGCGGTGTTATAAAAGGCAAATGATTTGGCAATGAAAACTCACAACAGTACGAATGACTTGGCAAAGGAACCTTCCACCCTGCTGCCACTTACTGACCAAGTAAAACTTGCAGCAGCTCAGCAAACACCAGCAATGCCCATCACCTACAGCAACCTAAACGTTAACTCTCCAATCTTGCAATTAATTATCTGGCCATATCAAAACTTATCACAATACTAAGAACTAGTGATTGCTTGATGATGCTAAAACTCATAACGACGTTCCCCTTGTGTGCCAGGGATGTAGTGAAGCTGGGAAAGAAAAAAGGAAGATTGAAAGAGAAAAGATTGGAAAAGGGAAAATGGAGAGAGGCAGGAAAGTTTCCAGAATCACCACTCCTTGGTTCCAGCAAAGTTCAGTCCAGCTGTTCTGGGATCCTTGGGTGGCGGGTGCACATGCTCCCATTATTAATTCACCTTTTTATAGACAAAAGTTCTCAGATCTCCACCTAATTTTCTTCAGTTAGCATCTGAAGCGGCAGGTGCTGTCATGGGATTTGGCATCAGCAGCGGCAGGTGGGTGGGGACCATCTTTGTGCACATGCAGGAGTCACTTGGTCACTCTGTGGGTCCCTCCCTGATCAGCGAGGGAGTGAGGCAGGGAGCTGGTGGGGTGTCCTTCCAACATCCCACAGCGTCTCTGATCACACACCTGGAAGATGTGAGCTCGTCTCTCATTATCAGCAAGGCTGCTCATCCCTTGAGACAATGAGTCTTTGTGGTTGAGACAAAACACTCACCTTTCTGTCTCTGTGATACGGAGCCTTCCAAATCAGTGGACCTGAAAACCAGCAGGATGGACTCTGCTCACCAGCCCTTGTTGTCCTGGCACCTGTAAGATGATGTGAAACAGGGCACGGTCCCAGCTGAGGGGTGCTGAGGGCTCCTGATCCTGCAAGAGGTGCCTTGGGCAGGGGACAGACCCCCCCGTGCTCTGTTACTTGTGTCTTATCTCCTCATACGTCGTGTCTGTACATAGAACATCTATTTTCCTGGCAGGGTCTCATTTTACGCTTCGTGATTTCTTTGTGTTGCTCTTGGCAGACGGATGATGCTGAAGAGAAAAAGATGTCCCAAACCTCACCCCCTGTGTTTGGTTATGTATTAAAAAGCAATTTGCTTTGTATTGTGGTGATGGGTTTGTTTTGACCCAAAACAGCATCTCTCCATTTCTCTCTTGACTGAGCAAGTATTTGAAAAAGCCTCAGCCCGAGTCTGATTTCTCTGGGCCTTGGCTGAAGGAGGATGGTCCTGGTCACCCCCTCTCCTGCAGCCAGGATTGCATGTGGGGAAGGGCTCTGCTTTGCCCTGTTCAGGGTCATTTTGGGGAGGAATGGAGCCCTGTGGACACCCTCTGAGGTTCCAGGCAATGGAAACACAGGTTGCTGCCCTGACTTCACTCAGCACCCAGCCCTGGTGGAGCATTTTGGAAGGATGGAGGTGGGGGGACCATGGCTGGGGCATACACAGGATCCCTGCTCGAGGTGAGTGTGCAGCCCTGTGTGCCCAGGGCAGGTGGGTGGCACCCTTATTCTGGAGCCCTGTGGACACCCTCTGAGGTTCCAGGCAATGGAAACACAGGTTGCTGCCCTGACTTCACTCAGCACCCAGCCCTGGTGGAGCATTTTGGAAGGATGGAGGTGGGGGGACCATGGCTGGGGCATACACAGGATCCCTGCTCGAGGTGAGTGTGCAGCCCTGTGTGCCCAGGGCAGGTGGGTGGCACCCTTATTCCTGCTTGGGTGGCACTGCTGCTGGGGACACTTGGGCATGGACACACAGACTCGCTCTGGTGGACACAGATGCCCTCACAGTGGCACACACACGGTCACGCTGACCGTCATCCTGCCACGTCAACATGCCTGCAGTGACACAAGTGCTCACAGGGCTGGTGGGGCTCACTGCCTTGTTTCCTTCCCTCATCCCCCATCCACCTCTGATCACCCTCACATCCCTCCTCACCTCCCA